TCAGATGATAAGCAACCTGTTAACCTACCCTGCCACAGGCATGTCGGCTAACTGTTGAAGTCAAAATTGCCTGAGCTGGATTCCTGTGATTATTTTGAGTGTTAAGGTATAATATTGTGTGGGGCATTTGGAACGGGAAATTATGACCAGGTTGCAGTTTTTTTGGAACAGTCTTGAGTATGCATTGTAGACTAGGCCTATGACCATTTTATTGTGTTCTGTAATAGTCTGAGTTCTTGCCTTAGAAGCCTAACAAATAACATTTTATTCAGTTACATAACCAGTTTATAATTCAGTAAATGGATGCTAAGAACCACCTCGTGCAAACACGGGAGGAAGAGCTGGAACAAAAGAAACAACTTTATTAAGAGGAAGATGGCTAACGTGTGAGAACAATTCTATAACTCGAGAGTCACGGAGGTACAGCCCGAGGAATAGTGTCAGGTGGTGGGAGGGGTGTAGAAGCAGAGAGGAAACTGGCTGGAATTGCCACATGGAGCGGGGACATGTGAACAATTATTGGAAAACAAGTTAGAGAAGCTATTGGAGATGTGAGCAAAAACTAGCTAGTTTAAAAGTTGAGTAAAGGAAAGCCTGAACGAAAAAGGCAGGTGCTAACAGTGCCCATTATCAGAATATATACCTAAAGTCTGAGACTATGCTTAAGGAAACGCCTGTTTAGTGTACGAGCAATAAGGAAGTGGAACGGACTAAAGAAGAAATAGCAAGAGGCTGCTACCTCCACACTCAGTTTTAAAATCAAATATAAAAATAAAGTAGTCGGGAGTTACTACCACATCTTAGACATCTAGACAGGAAGAAATGCGGGTTCCAAGAGGTGACGTTCGGTCGTGCGTACTGTTAGGTAAATACCCTCCAGAACACCAGCCATATGTTTTGTCCATGAAAGTGGTTTTGTGCAATGTTTCTGCCATTGTGATATTGTCCACATTGTATGAGCAACTTTCCATTTTGGGGTCACATGGTAGTGAGGCGTGGCAACGACCCCTGATCTCCGTGACGTTACCAAGGCAAGTGTGAGGCTCGTGACACACCAAAGACAAGGGTGTGGTGAGGGAGTGGCCAGGCTGGGGGAAGATTGTGAGGTGAGGAGATTGGAGGTGCAGCGCCGCCGTGCAGGTGGTGGTGGGGAGGATTGGCTGGGCCTGGTGAGGTGGTGGTGTGTCGTCGGGGGGGGGGGGGGGGGGGGACAAGTATCCTTACTAGGTCATGCTGCCCCACCACCATGACTCACTGCCCTGACCTCACTCTTCATTATCTCTCTCTCACAATAGAAATTGGCTTATGTAATTTGGGAGATGGTTGAAATGAGAACCTTTAGTGACCCACATCACGTGTGTGTAACTCGCTCAGGGAGTTACGTCAGCAGCGCACCTGCTTCTCAGTATTCTGGGCGTGTATCCTGCAACAAAACATAACCGTCTTCATGTACATAATATTCTCTGGCACCACCCACCACACCCCTGCCCCCCTACACCACCGACCACACCCCTGCCCCCCTACACTATCCATGGCATACGTGCCTCACCATATTGGGGTAGAGACGTGCATGGTACCATAGGAGCACCATACTGTGCAACACTTTCCTGTTGTGGGCTGCCAGCGTGCTTAACATGGCCTAGGTCCTAGGAGATTAGTTCAACCCCTGCCACTTACTGATGGCCAGGGCTACTAGATGGAGCCGCCGCCTGCTAGCCTCTCGCCCTTTCCTCCACTTGGTGTGCTAAGTTGGTCTCTTCTTCTTACATGCTCTCCCCTTCAACCCCCGTCCCACATGCTCTCCCTCTATCCTCCCACCCCACATGCTCTCCCTCTATCCTCCTACATACCGTCCTTGCTCCCTCCCATGTGCCTTACCTTCCCCCTCCCACGTGATCTCCCATACATTACATTCATTCTTTTTTATGGAGCAGGTCCTCGCGTCAGCCAGTTGTTTACTCAAAGTTCAGGGACCCAGAGTAGAAGTGAGGTCGTTCATGGGTCTCAACCACCACAAAGCTGAATGAGACAGGAAGCTATATCCGCCCATGTTTGGCTGTGCATTTGTCAACTTAAGTTTTTTATGACTAGCCGGTGGGAACGTTGTTGAATTTACACGCCGTCAATAATATTAAAGCACTGAGTTTTGAATTCATTAAGACTACATTTAAGCCAAAATAGTTGATCCTCAAAGTTCTATCAACTAATTTCTTTTGTAGCTACAGTACGAGTGTGGCCATGGAAATTGGTCCATTTGCAGAGGATATAAACTGCTTCACTCCAATATGGTTTATTCCCACCATCTTTATATTGTATATTATTTAATAAAGAAAAAAAAAAAGAGTACAACATTTGGGGTTTACGGCTCATGCTATGTGATATGAAAAATTGGTTTACTGAGAATTATATAAACTATATAATGTATTCACCCCCCCCCCCCCCTTGTAAATTGATGTAAATACGACCTTAATATTGTATATTATTTAATAAAAAATCCCCTCCCCCCCAGCAGGCTGGCCTTCTGGTAGACGACAACGTGAGAAGAGTATCTACCTCTTTCATAAAACAAACCAAACCATTCCCGCCAAACACACACCGAAACTACGACGTTGGTACAACGTTCGAACAAGTTTTAACACCTCCTAACCAGTTATAACAACCAATATAGCAAGTTGTAACAACGTTCTAATACGTTATAAACACGTTAAGCCAAGATGTAACAACTTTATTACAAGTTGTAACAAGCGGAAAATAGAGAGTTTCGGTTTGTTTCCAGGGTTGCTATACGGTTGGCGTCACGACATATTACACACCTGCTTGCAGCATATTGGTCAACTCGGATAAATGGGCTGCACATAGAGAGCAGAGAATCCGAACGGTATTGTTCAGGGTGAAACCGTTAAATACAATCGTCAGGGTGAAACCGTTAAATACAATCGTCAGGGTGAAACCGTTAAATACAATCGTCAGGGTGAAACCGTTAAATACAATCGTCAGGGTGAAACCGTTAAATACAATCGTCAGGGTGAAACCGTTAAATACAATCGTCAGGGTGAAACCGTTAAATACAATCGTCAGGGTGAAACCGTTAAATACAATCGTCAGGGTGAAACCGTTAAATACAATCGAAAAACACCAGCAAGCATAAGTGTGAATTCTCTACCCACAGAAATCACAATAGCGTGATGCATCAAATGCATGCATAAAATAAATTCGGTAGAATTTCTGGCTGCAATTGTTATACCATGTCGTAGCGCAGTCGATTAAGGCAGCGTCTGGGATGCTCTCGGACGTAGGTTCGAATCCTCGTCACGGCCCTTGTGGATCTGTTCATGTGAATTCTCCTTACTAGGCTACGGGGGTCTGGGGGGGAGCGAGAGGTTATCATGCAACAAATATATAAACCAAAATACAATAATAGTGTGTTCTTACGACTATAACTACTTGTATGTCGACATTATCATGGTGTTATATAGTCTCTGGGGCCTGACAGCTGAGTGGACAGCGCTCGGGACTCGTAGTCCTGAGGTTCCGGGTTCGATCCTTGGTGGAAGGGGAAACAAATGGGCACAGTTTCTTTCACTCTGATACCCCTGTCACCTAGCAGTAAATAGGTACCTGAAAGTTAGACAGCTGCTACGGGCTGGTTCCTGGGGGGTGGGTAACAAAAAGGAGACCTGGTCGAGGACCGGGCCGCGGGGACGCTAATCCCCGAAATCATCCCAAGATAATCTCAATAAGAGAAGATAGTCTCACAAAATGATATCTATTATTAACTACAATGACATAGTAATCTGCTTTTTGCATCCTCTGAACTTTCATGCTTTTCCCCCCAAACTTGAGTGAAACAATTACACTTGCCATGTAATGGTGGGAACCGTCGACGGAGAAATTTCGTGACGGAATGCACCTGTAAATGCCAATATTCTCGCTGGAAATTGTAAGCTAACTATACAACAGCAGAAGCCGGACTAAATAAGTCTGCTTGTATGCCAGGAAACGTGTCCTAATTATACTTCCTTAACAACAATATTTGCTTAATGTTAAAGTTTGATCTTTTGTGTGATATCTTGTAATATTTTTTAACAATTGTGCAGCCTACATTGGCATTAATACGACTCTGAGTTTAGCAGTATGTGGAACGTCAGCACTCATTTAGGGGGTTACATGTTTAGTTAGTACTTTTTTTATTATTATTTTCTACCACAGACGTGGCTACACATTTACAATGCTAACTAGCATATATACATTTTCTTCTGTCCTCCATGGACAGGGTGAAAGATTTGTCAAACATACAGTTCAGAGATTTTTGAACCACAGAAGATCATCGTAGTGCTTTTAAAATGTTAGGCTAAAATTGTTTCATTTACACAAATTTGATTATACTCAAAATCCTGTTACCTTTCAATCGATCGCGATATAAATATTGTATCTGTAACTATTACAAAGATACCATAAAGTTAGGTATTAACTAAAGTTACTAAGGTTTTTAGCCAACTGTTGAGTTTTGAGTTGATGTGCCATATTCCCGCGGGTATAAGCAGATGGCAGCACCACGCCTGGTGTGATAGCAGGATGGTCCCCCGTTCACGCCCTCGTGATGGAGACGAGTCTGGGAGTGTAATTTATATTTTAAATAGTTTATTACGGACACTATACCGCTCCTGTGGGCGGGGGCGGAGAGGTTGGAATGTGGTAGCCGCCGCCTTGTATGGGGGCCAACAAGCCTATCTATAATTCTCATGATCTTTTAACGGGTTAAGGAACGTGTAAGGTGCAGATTTGTGGCTCATCGATTTGTTACTTCAAGTTATTTATTGTCTCCTGTCTTCTATAATGTGTCGCTTTATGTTGGTAAACATTGCGACTACTGTCACTACTACTGCTACTGTTATTTCTCAACTACCACTGTTATCATCACTAGGCAAACTACTGCTAGTATTATTACTATTATTATTTTTGTTGTTAGGAAGAGAGTGGTATAATTGTAAGTGTTGCAGGGTCGCCGTGGAGCGTGGAGGTGATGGAGGGCGGCGGGGCGCGCGTGGCGGTGCTCGGGGACACCATCAAACACTTCCCTGCTGGACAACTCTCAGCCTTTGACATCTCGGCTGCCAACGTCTCCAAGGAGGACATTCAGGTCCACATAGTCAGTAAGTCTTCCACTTAATATCTGTTGAAGACAAGCGATTTCGGTCATAAAAGTATTTGTGTGTACGTCTGATAACATACTACTTGTGAAGGAGGAAATGTATATGTTTACCTCTCAGAATGTTTGGTAATATGTTTATTTGTGATGTGTGTCTATGTATATATTAACACGTTGTACTGAATGGGGTGAGAATAGCTTGAGCTACTTCATCCCTTTGTGTGTATTTTACCTCAATAAACTTATTTCAATTTCACAAGCGATTTACAAATGAAAATGTTACTAGTGTACTAGTTGTAAATTTATCAATAATGTTTAGTATTTTGTTAATTTGTTGTTCGTTATTCCCCCGTGAGCAGGCCCGGCCAAGCGTCCGGTATCTTACCAGCTGACGGAGAGCGGCGAGAATGTGTATCGCGTAGCGTTCGTGACAACGGAAGTGGGGTCGTATGTGGTAGACGTGGCTGTGGCCGGGCAGAAGGTGCAGGGTTCGCCCTTCATCGCTAAGGCATACGACGCGGGACTCATCCGGGTGTCCGACGTGCCCAACGGCGTGGTGGGGCAACCCTGCCAGTTCAGAGGTCAGCTCCTCCTTACTGGCTTCCGCCTTCACTGACATTTCGTAACTTGACGTAGATATTCAATAATGTTTTGTATATAATATTTTATTTTAGCGGAATGAAAATTGTATTCTGTACCGGAACTTGGAATTAAAAATTTGAGCTATAGCCTAGCGGTAAAAGAGTTAATGTTGCCATACAGTGGACGCGTCGCAGGCGGGCGAGGGTCAGCTGGAGATCAGCATCAATGACGGCGAGGTGCCCAACCATGTTCAGGTGCTGGGCGGCGGCCGCTGCCTGGTCTCCTTCACCCCCGACACTGCCAAGATCCACACCATTGACATCAAGGTTCGCCCGCTTCTTTCTCTTGTCATAATTTCAAAAATATTCATGATAGGTAGATTCCCTTATTTTTGATATCTTCGTCTAACTAGTACTAACTTTTGCGACATGTGGTCACTCCCTGATACTAATCCTTTGTAGTGATCACGGCCCATCTGTATTGTTCTTCCACCCTCCAAGCACAGTTACTTGCTACCGTCTGTATTCTCATACATTCATCACACCGACATCAGACTTGACAGTTAATTGTAAATGTCTCCCATATGCAACTGCGCTTGCTAAACTTCAACAGTAGGCAGACAGAGTTGTTATAGATCGGTTCCAATAAGTGTAAGGTAATGAAAATTGGAAAGTGAGATTAGAGATCATAAAATCATATGATCAATTACATCATAAGTAAGGCAATTGCAAGAATCTGAGAAATTTGGGACTGGATATAGTTCCAACAGTCGCACCAGAGCCACATATAAACATGGTAACATGGGCAGCATATGGGAAGCTGCCAATCATTAAAACTACTACATTTTAAAAATGTAAATAAGGATACTTTTAATACAGTCTATACAGCCTGTGTGAGGCCGATACCGGAATACATACTAGTGAATCACAAAACTAAACTCAGTAATGTGGAAGTGTTTGCAACAAGATTAGTGTCAGAGTTAAGACGACTTGGCTACTGTGGTGGGTTACGAGAACTAAATATCACAACCCTAGAAGAAAGAACAGAGGAGATATGATCATTACACACAATAAATTAAGGGAATAGATAAGCCTCTCTTTAATTAAGGGAAAGTATTGGAAGAGGATGTAAGTTGAAGCTGTATAGGTGGACGACAAGTGGAATACACTGAAGGAAAAAAAGATAGTGGTGGAAGTCACCGCCTTCCATAACTTTGTCAGGTACGACAAAGCATTCAAACGCCAGGAAAGGTAATACAAAACACACTTGGTACAAGGCGAGATGGCTGGGCATGAAGAACTAGACCTCACTTTCTCTTGGTTACTGTTGGATAAAGACTGTCAGGTAAGCACACCAGAGGACAATAATATACAAAGAACTCCAACTAAACTTCATAGACCAGAGGCACCGGTCAATCCATTTATCGACACACTAACTTATAAGAGGATCTGCATACTTATGTTTCGTCGAACAAGTCCATCAGACTTTGTTACCAATGTTGTTCGACTTGAGCTAAGAGTTTATACTAAGTTTATATATACTTTTTTTTTTAGATATATACAAGAGTTGTTACATTCTTGTACAGCCACTAGTACGCGTAGCGTTTCGGGCAGGTAAATAAAAACTTACATAAACCCATCTTTGATAAAGTACAGTTACGCTAGTAACTGCAGCCAAACCAACAATAATTACAACTCTGGATGTAGGAGAGTGTAATACACTTCATTCCCCTCCCCCTCGGAAGTTAAAAGACTACTGTGTCTATAAACACCACGCAAGGACAAGCCTAAGACGGTGTTTGGCTCTAGATGAACTCTTGTCAGCCTTTAGTGCAACAACTGAACGTTAGCAGCAGCTCCAGCTCTTGTGGAGCCTGTTGGAGAAGACGAGCTCCTCACAGCACAGAAGCCACCGTGGGTGTGACTGCAGAGATTATGAACACTATGATATTTGACTTAAGTACGATGAGGGTATGAATGACAGGTACTATATTATATATAAACTATATTAAACCACGGTCACAACTCGTCACGATATACAGGCTGAGTCACGCAAGTCCGAGTCATATTGTGACTCTTGCAAGTCCCAATATTTGTAGTTAATAAAACTTTAAAAAATCTAAGCTTTGTAAGTGTTTCATGTGGACACACTGTTACCTAAACTCTTGTTCAATAAACATGACACGAGAACAAACATGTCCAATGTAACATAGTAACTGTAACTAGGATGGGACTGGGATAATAATAATAAAGGACATAACATAAGTGTAAATATGTTTGTAACAGTTCAACGGGGAGACAGTTCGCGGGTGTCCGTTTGAGTGTCGTGTGGCCGACACCTCGCGGGTCAGTCTCACGCTGCGACACCTCGAGCTCATCCCCGTCGGCCAGCCTGCAGCCTTCAACATCTCTGTGGACGGCGGCGGCTCCGCCGAGCTCACCGTCACTGTCAAGAGTAAGTACATACTCTTGATGGCTCTCTTTAGTAACTTCTAAATCTCACGTTAAAAAGTTTTACCTTGTTTTAATGTTATCAAGAATATTGGCAGCCTTCCCAACATAGAATAACATAGTCTCCCTGGCGTAGCGCCTTCTTTTGATAATTATTTACTTCCAACATATGTGTGTCAGTCTCTAATTCTCTCTTGTCCTGTGCAGCACCCAGCCATACCACGCTGCCAGTGCGTGTGTCTGGCAGCGTGCGAGCAGGGTTCATAGCAGAGTTCAAGCCAGTGGAGGTGGGTGCCCACACAATCATCGTTAACTACAACGAGTCCGCCGTCTCCGGCACCCCCTTCACCTGTAAAGTGTACGATGCCTCTAAGGTGGGCGTTTCCCACCTGCCTAGAGGTGCAATCGGCAAGAGCCTTCAGTTTGTAGGTGAGGACACGTCTAGGTTATTCCTGGTCTGGTAAAGATGCCATGAGTAAGCATATTCTAGCAATTTGCAACCATTTTATGCTTTTACATGTTTATATTGTTAAATAATATTGGTGTATTTTTCTTAATATACAATGTGGATTACAGTGGACGCATCAGAGGCTGGCGAGGGCAACTTGGAGATCAGTATCAGTGCAGCTGGCAGGAATATACCCACACAGGTTCACCCTCAGGGTTCAGCCAGGTAGGTTTCCCCACCTCTAACACTTCCACACCTGTTTGGTTAGTAGTGACTGTTTCATCTTTCCCGGAGCTCAAGATGAATTTTAAGCATTATGGCTGTTGGCGGTAACTGTTGAGCACTGATAAAGTGCACAATACAAAACTGTGGTTACTCTATTTATATTGTGACGGTCAACTAATGAACTACTAGGAAGATAGTCTTAATACTAGTGGATAGTTCATCTAGTGAATTGTGAACACCACAATTATCATGTATATCATATAGTGATATATATAATTATATAGCGATATTGAATTATCTATCCACTATCACAAAAAACTTTGCTCATTTAACTTCATCACCTCAGTTGGTGTGATGTTCTTATTTCATGTTTTTCGGGCTGGCTGGAAGACGTTTCCTAGATTACTGGAGGAAGCCAGAGAGGAAATTTAGTTAGTTACAAATATGCTTTTCAAATTATTTGTAGATTTGTTGCCTCATTTTCAGATATGCCTGTTTTCCACATCTTGACAATTTTACTTTTGCTTTTAATAGGATGCAAGCTACATGTCAAGAGATTTTTAAGTCGGTGTTGCCTAAAATACTTGTAACCAGCAGCGGGAACCTCACTCTGTCTAAAAATAATAAGTAATATCTATCCCAGTGCTAATGTTGAGGGACTTTGGAGTGGCCATGTTTAATTTTCTGTATCTTTATTCAAGGTTCGCGGTGTCTTTTGTGCCTCTGGAAGCCATTGACCATTCTATCAACATCTCCTTCAACAAAGAGCCAGTCCAAGGCTCTCCGTTTGTAGCCAAGGTTAGTGGCCTCGGGAAGTGCAGATATGTATGTCTTTGTGCAGGAATATGTATATAAATTATTATAAATATTATCTGTGATCATTTTGAAAATCAAAGGATATGTAGTTGTAAATCCCTAAAACACACGAGAAGCATGTTGATATATTTTCTTTAAGAGGACTTAGGGAACCTTAATTGTCTGCTAGTATTTTGGACATAGACGTGTCAAGCTAGGAATTCCGTCCACATATATTCAGTTTGAGGTTCGGTTACTCGTGCGAGAAAAGGAAGCCGTCGTCATCTCGGCATGTGTTGTGATGAATCTGATAATCACCCTTGTGATGAACCACCACAAGCTGGTGGTTCTAAGCTAATGTTTAATACTCTTTCGTGCAACCTGTTAATCCGGCAAAGTTTTTTTTTTCAATGTCAAATTCACACTACTTCCCTATAACGTGTGAAACTGTATATATATTACTACATTTTTTTAGTAAAATATAGTACATTGCTTGCTGAAGTTTATATAACTACGGGAATTCGAGCCTTTATGTTATGTTAGATGTAATTGAAGATATCATGCTGTAGCACCTTTGGCGAGCTCATTCATTAGCATTTACAATTTCCCTTTTTAAAATCTGCAGGTGCAGGCAGACCCCAACCGCATTGTAGTGAGTGGACAGTCGCTAGCAGCCACAGCTGTAGGGAAGACCTCGTTCTTTACCATCTCCAACGTCACCGGTTCTGTGGAGGATGTGGAAGTGTCTGTTGAGGGTAAGTAACTTCCTCTCGGCCCTCACTTGTGTGTGTGGATTGTTGACAGCATATTGTGCAGGATGGGATTACTTCATCATTCCACACGGAGCACCTCTGTAATGGATATTTTACTAAAACTGAAGTGAAAATTGCACCATCTGCTCACTCACATCACCTTATCTGAGCTGCATTAATTATCGGTTTCTATTTTTAAATTTAAAATATATAAAATATGACCTGTTGCAGATGTATTGAGCTTCATATAGTGTGGACTCCTGGTTGTTTACATGCAGGCTTGGGTAGTGACTTGCCTCAACAGTACTGGTACTGTTGCTGGCTAACAGTAGTAGTTACCCGGCTAGCACCAGTACTGGTGCTAGCTGGGTAACCCCACTAGTTACTTCCGGGGTCAGTACTAATCCTTGTGGAAACCCCAGTGGTAACTGCAGCGTGGTAACAGTTTTCTTTAATCATCATTTAAATTTTTTTCAGATTAAAAATTCTCTAGTGCTCTAATTTAGTGCATAACTAAACGCACTTTTTATTCTTTCTTTATTTTGTAGTTTGAAATGTTATTACTATTATAGGGAACTCTCAAAAGCTTTTTTAAGTCCATGAAATGCCACCTATTCTTCCACTTTGTTGAATTTATACTGTTGCGGAAGCTCACTAAGTTTGACATAGTGTACAAGATTTTCACAACCTATAACAGAATTGTTTGATTAGTAACACATTTCTCCCTCCAGATTTTTCACTTACTTTTTTCTTCTTGGTTTCTAAAGTATTTTAACAGACGCACTTGTCAGGTAGATAGGATCTTTGTTTAGAGGGCCTCTCACTATCCTTTTATATTCTGGCAAACAATTGAAAATTTGCCATTTGCTGTTAATTTACCCATCTTGACATGACAATCTGAATAATCCAAAAGTGGTTAGCAAAGTTCTTTCTCACATTCTTCTAGGTTCCAGGGTGATGTCTGATCCTACAGCTTTATTTTATCAATATTTATTTATAGTGTCTATATTTTCGTATTTATTTCAGTGAACTTCATTTTATTAATTTGTTGCTGGTATAATGTTGGTTCACTAAACAAAAATATATTCCATATACACTGAATTTGTTTAATGCCTTACACATGTCTTTCGTTGGTTCAGTGATATTTTAAAGTGTTTTCTGTATTTTTATTCTTTTGCTGTTACACTATTACTTTTTCAAAATATATTTATTCTCACTTTATTGCATTAATTTAAAACCAGTTTAAATTTCTGAGAGGTTTATAAGTTAAGATGTTTTCTCTTTGTTCCAAAACTCTTGCCTTCTTTTCCATTGGTTTCCATCACCTGTTTAGCAAATTTTTGTATTTTTCCTGTATTCTAGTCGAGGACTGAGCAATGTTTTGCATAATACATACTGTATGCAGCCGAAATTATTATATCCAATACTTTATTAGTTTTATAAAATATTCATATACACCTTAATTTAATTAGGTTTCTTTGGAATGCTGTTTTGGTTAGGTCTTTATACAGTACCGTTCCATCTTTAATATTCCAGTCTATCATGTTTGTATTTCACATTTTCCAGTTCTGTATCTGTTTTGATGTAGCTTGTTTATTCAGAGATTCTTGGCTCCCCCCCCCCCCCCGCAAACAGAATATAGGTGTATATTTGTATGTGTGACCAAACGCTTGCTATAAGTACAATACTATCATTTTAGGAGGATGGGTTGCCAATTTTATGTCTGGTACATTTAAATTAAAAAATTGAATTATCAAATCAAATTGAGAAATTTAATTGTCCATTTACCTTTTGTTTCAGCTTCATAAGCTGTCCGAATTTTAGTATAAACTAAAGTTTCCTAACCTGAATTTACCCGAGGGCCACTAACACATTAGTGGCCTCGAGGAGGACAGGAAACCAGCGGCTTGTCAAAGGTCCCCTCATTTGTCCTGATAATTGCTTTTCTCTTTCTTGGTCGACTCTGCTAATAAGCCCATTTTCATGAGGGTTTCTACATTCAATATTGTGCATGTTAACCTACTCTTACCAAGGGTATGATATGACTACTTTGTAAAATTGTTGATTGTATTGTTACTTTTTCTCACCTCGGCTTCCCTATTGGGGTTATACTGACACAAGTTTCCACTTTCTCAGTTGCGACTTGTCAAGCATCCAGGACGGACCCAAACGTCACTTTCATTTTACTTCGTGTGTGGGGTTTGGGTTATTTATTTACTACATTCTCTTTATATTTATTTATACACAAATATTTTTGTCTCCTTGCACGTAAATTTGCAATGTTTGGGATTTGTATATTGTTCTGTGCAGTCAAACTTCATTAACTTGAAGAGGATCTCTTACCAGTACCGTACTGTTATTTCTTCAAACACCCTTTTTTCCTTTTTTTGTAATGTGATTTCACTAAAGATAGTCTTATTTGATTTAGTTTCAGTTAAGCAGCTCACTCATTTTTATTCATAGGCCTGCATTTTTTAATATTCAGTCCATCCAGTTTTTATGTAAATTTTGTATGAAATTAAATTTTTTTTTGGCATGGCTATTTGCATTTAATTGTAATCTATTATTCAGTGTTCCTCGTTTGACAATTTGACTAATAAACTCAACCTTCTAACTCTATGCTAATGTTTTTCTCAAGTCAATAATTCATTACTTAAGATTTTTTTTTTACTTGGCTTCATCTTTACTGTCACCTTTGTAAATCTGTCCGGATACTTGTTCTTGCACTGTCTTTGTTTTCTTCATCTTTTCTCCGTTATTGTTCTATTTACTTAACATAGGTGAAGACTGAAGATTAACTAAGTGTGTGTGTGTGTGTGTGTGTGTGTGTGTGTGTGCGTGTGTGTGTGTTTGGATTGTAATGCATTGCACATTCTTCTGTAGCCTGTTATTTGTTCGATTATACTAAAATATTGTGCTCTTCATTAGCTGTTTTTTATCAGGTTTTCCTCTTGCACAAGTCTATCGGCTCATGATGCCACGATCTTCACACTCAAACACTGTCCATTCCACGTTTTCTGTTATGATATGTATTTATCCTTGATCTAACATTTGCATTTATGGGGATTTATCTGACCTAAGCTGTTTCTTGCTCTCTAACTGCTCTCTGCCTTGCAGCTTTTACATGGCTTGCTTTTATCTTGGATTTATATTATTTTAATTCTTAATTAACAGACTGGATTTCTTTTTATTTCCTTTATATTTTTACAATTTCTTATTTTAATTTGCTCAGTATATGGCAATGTTTAACTGTTTCTAATTCCCTCTAATGTTTTATTAACCTTGTTTATCTTACCATGAAAGTTTACATTTATGTGCTTTAACATTTCTTTAACGAAATCCTCCTCCCTCATCTCATTACGAATTAGAATTAGAAACGTTTTCATTACTAATTCAAATCGTTACAATAATGGCTGGACTAAGCAGTCTAAAGCACTTATATTTTTTATATAAATTGAGTAACAATTAGCTTAGAATTTGAAGTAATTATATGGTGAATTTTAATGGACTGAAATGAGAGAGAAAGAGAGAAAGAAAGAGAGGGGGAGGGAGGGAGAGAAAGGGAGGGAGGAGAAACGAGAGAAGAGAGCGTGCAGGCGCACCTATTTGTATCTGCAATATCGAGCTTCAACTGTAGGGATCCCGCTTCCTAGATTGATAAAATTACTCACGAAGTACTATTCTCTTATGTCTACTTTTAAAATTGCGGATGACGTTTGTCATCTACTACCATCTCATCTACGTCACTATTTTCCTACTCTCATACTAGAGATGTTTTTCATAATATGTCTAGTTCTTCCGTGACTCTAACTTCCACTTGTGTCGTCTTGTTACAATGTTGTTCATTGTAAAGATTACCTCCATTGCTACCCCCTGTCAATTCCTCCAGGTATTTTCTCCTATCTTCTTCAGCCTTTCTTCATACCCTATTCCACGTGGTCTTGGGTCAAGCCTTTGGTGCATGTCTCTGTACTTATTCAAATTTATGGATCTTTTTTTTTGAGGTGGACACTGTCGGTGCTGCATACTAAATCTTACGAATGAATGTCTTATTTAGTTTGGCGAATGCTATTCTGATACTTACAAGATTCGAATATGTTGTTGATATGCTATTCATGTGTGCTTCTGGGGTATCACTGGGTATTGTATCTGCTTCTAGGTATTCTTCTTTGCTTGATTCAGGAAAGTGGTTCCCCCTTCATTGTGTATTATCTTCTTGGCCTACTTGGTTTCAGTTTCTGTTTTAGTCACTTTACAATTATTTGTATTTAACTCTACTGACTTTTTTGCAATGTATTGCAATTCTCTTCTATTTTGATCGTTCTCGCCAGTTTAGCATTTTCAGCAAACACATGAATGAACTTACTTTCTGCCAAGTCTTTGAGAGACTGATTAGAAGAATTGTTCGAGAACAAGTAAATGTTTTGTTTCCAAACATCGACATGCATTCACCGATGGAAAGTCCTACGTAACCAATGTGTTCTACAAGATGACAGCAATCAAATAGGAAAGAGAGGACTGAACAGACTGCATCTTCCTCGATTGTGAGTGTGTGTGTGTTTGACACTGTTCCTCACAAGTAGTCCTATGGAAACTACAGGAGGAGGATGGTGTATTGGTTTGAGTGCTATGTTGTATGAAGGACTTTACATTAATCCATACAGGATTAATGTAAAGGGTCTCGGTGAGCTATGACATATCATAATGGAGAGATGATGAGTGGAGTTCTTTAAGAGTTGGTAGTAGGGTTTATCCTATTCCTAGTGTACTTGGAGAGGATTTCGGCAGTTCTACTTCCCAGCCTGGAGCCACACCTTGGTCCTAGGCCGGGCCTCGGGGTCCAGAGTTTCGAAAGGCTGTGTGAGCCTCTTAGGCCACTAATCTTCATTCCCTCTGGTTTGATTAGTCTTATTACGTAATTGTAATCGAAATCCAAAAGTATATGATGTCTGATGCTTTTAAATATTTAATAAAAAAACATAAATTTTTTGTGCGGAAGACAACTTGACTGGCCTTCCAGCAACTTTCCGAACGTCTCCTTGGTGTCTGTTCTGGTAAATTTATCTGAAGATGCCAGCGTAGAGGAACCCTCTGTGTGTGTGTTAATGTGAGTGTGGGGTCATTTCCAGTGTCAGCGTGGTATTGACGGTGTCAATGTGTCGCTCTACACTTCACGGCTGTCAAATGTTTTTAATGTTTAATATTTAGATTATTGTTTACAGAGGCGTGTTTCGGATTTCAATCTTCCGCACAGTTTGCGAATGTCATTTGGTACGAGTTTCTGAAATACTCGTTTATATTTATGATAGCGTGTATTTAAATGTATACACAGTTTGCTGTGATCCGTGTTTGTGATGTATATACAGTACACTGAGTAAGTTTTACATTTTGTGTCAATACCGTATATACGGTATTCATACCCTACACTGGGTAAAATGCACAAACTTTCCTTGTTTGTGTGAAAGTTTCACAAATCTTGTCAGCTCAAGATTGCTCGATTGTCATCTATCTGCAGATAATTAGATTGCAATTAGTTGGCATATTACAACTACAAGCCTCTTGAGAACCACCTCTTCAGTTTCTATTCTACACTGACAAATGACCTCAAGACACATAACAGCGATGAATGACTCTTTAAGAGTCCGTCGGACGGGTCGCAGACCACCGCAGTTGGCACTAACACTGTCTCGAGTCTCTTCTCCAGATTCTAGATTATTACTTTTCTTCTGGTGTGAGATTTAACTTCAGCAAATGACATATAAATACTGTACTACGATGGTGCAAACTCCGTGGCATCCTTGGGCCCAACTTGGCGGTCTTTGCCTAACAAATTTGTTATATATATAAAGAGTATATATACCTCTTGAGTTTTGGATCTGTTTTGATACTAAATGATAACTTCTGAACACTCTTCTGTAAAGTGATATTTTTGGGGGGAAAATTACGTTCTAATTCACATGTTCTGTATTTTGCATGTCACATTACATTAAAAAAAAAACTTACTTCGACTAATGCTGTGCTGTCAGTATTCATTAAGTGGTTATGCACATAGTTATCTAATATAACTTTTCCGACCATTCAGGAAGGTCTTCATTTCCGGTTTACACTGAAATATTATTTCTGTGTTGGTTTTCTATCATTTCCGTTCCGTTTTCTAATTTGTTTCCTCACACATGTATTTCCTTTTCAGGACGCTCGAGAAAACACCAGCGCGCTTACTAACAGTACTAACCCTTGTTTCTACCACTTAGCTTATAGCCTTGGCATGGGTGTGGCGAGGCACGGCCGCCCTTCCTCACCCCCCTCCACGCCTGAGGAAGGCCTCGAATTTGTCGCACTCTTGCATGACTTTTATTTTATATTTTTTTTTGCACTAGCTACATTTAACCTTCCCGGTGAGCATGGTTTAAACCCGCTGTTTATAGGAGTACACGTTAGTTGTGGTGGTGGGTGTGGCTTGCCTAGCGTATTGACCGTGAGGAGGTGATGGCTGCTCTCGTGCCGCTTCATGACACACGACCACCCACTACCAGTCTGACTTACATTATCCGCCAATGACTCTTTTTCTTTCAGACGCGGGACGTGCGCACGACGCAGAGAGACTTCGAGGTGGCTCATACTCAGACTTGCCTTTTTTTTCATGAGTGACAAAGTTTATTTTGACAAACAGTAGTTACCTAAAGATGAATCTCTTAATGACCATTGACCATGTGTGCCCCTGAAATGACCGTGTTAACCTGACCTATGGCATCCAGTATCTTCCTCCTAGCCTAACATTAACTGGTATGTTATGCCAGGCGTCCTCTCTCCATCCCGTGTTCCTCCGCCACTGTCTTACCATCCCTGGCTGGAAAAAATAACCAAGTTTGCTAGCTGTGATAATTACACCCCAGCCTTCTCCCGGTCCTGCTTTATCCACCATCCTCATAATACCTGTAATGTTGTTAACCGAGACTGCCTGTCTACCTGTGCCCATATCTGCCAGCTCCTTTACCTGTATCCTTACCTGCTCATGTGCCCACAAGGCCCCCTTCCCCCAAACTGATGCCCCAGGCATTCTTGCCCACCACCAACCCCGGCGTAGCATAGGGCCACACTAACTGGGCCGCGTCTGTATAGGCCCCAATGGACTCACCGTGGCATCGCAGATCCGCGACAACGGCGATCACACCTTCAGAGTGGAGTTTGCACCTCGCAATGCTGGCGAGCATAGAATCCACGTGGCGTACGGCGGCGAGGAGATCCCTGGCTCCCCCTTCAGCTGTAAGGTGTACGACGTGTCGGCCATCAAGGTTCGCCCAGTTGATCGTGGCATGGTCGCCAAGCCTGTCACTTTTCTTGGTAAGTTTCTATTACTCCCGCACTAGATTAAAATCTAATTGTGGTCAAAATGCTACCACGCATTTGTAGTTATTTGTGGAATATCAAATTTGGTGTAAACTAACAACAAATCCATCATTAATAAATTCTGAGTTCAATAGCAGCAGTACAGAGTTAACCCAAGTTATGGTTATGTCCCGCAGTGGAGACGAATAATGCTGGACCAGGAAACCTGGAGGTGACTGTCAACAATGGTCAGGTCCCCACCAGCGCCCAGGCTCAGGGCAATCATGTCTACGCCATTTCCTTCACTCCCAAAGAAGCCAAGCCACATGTGGTGGAGCTCAAGTTTAACGGGGAGAACGTGCCGGGCTCGCCGTTCTCGTGCGAGGTGGTGGACGTGTCGCGAGTGACGGTGGCTGGCACCGGACTGGAGAAGGTCCCCGTCGACCTGCCGGCAACCTTCACTGTCGACTCTCAGGTCGGCTCATAACGTCTCTTCATCGTCTAGTTCATAACAAAAGAATACAAGGGTCAATCTCTTAAAGATTCAATCACAAGTATATATCTGTTTGCTTTATCACAATTTTGCTTTTCTCAAGTTCTTGTATTTAAAATATGATGTAATTCTGAACAAGAACCATATGAAACTTGTCACTGTGTCACAAAGCGCTAGAGTTAATGTTTTGTGTCGTATTCTGTGGGTGCAGGCAAGTGAGGAGCAGCTGGAGGTGAAGGTGTTGTCTCCGTCCCGCCAAAACCTGGAGCCCCGCGTCTCTACCAACGACGAGGGTAAACTCCTGGTGGAGTACACCCCCACTGAAGTCGGTCAGTTGTGCACCTCCTCCACATCATTATTCATTCAAAATCAAAGAATTTATTTTATTTCTGAAATCTTGTCACAAATATAACAATTCTAATAGTTACACATTTGAACTTTTGTCCTTTAGTTTTAAAATGATACGAGACACTGTCACAGTGATCACGTTACTGGGTAACTGGGCCAATTGGCGCTCCAATTTCACGCCTTCCTTTCCTGTGGAGCAAAACAATGGAAAACATATTTCAGTGTTAGTGTTTCTGGCATTAGAGGGCTGTGTGTGTTTATTTACTACTTGTGTCGTGTTGCTGCAGGTGACCACAGCGTGGAGGTGCGGGTGGCGGGGATGTTGGTGCCAGGGTCGCCCTTCCTCGTCAAGGCCTACGACGCCACCAAAGTCAGGGTCACCGAAGTCGCCACGGGTATCGTCGCTAAGCCCGTCTACTTCTCCAGTCAGTCTTCATAATTATCGTTTTTTTTTGTTTACTGATATCTCTATATTATTTGCAATACCCGTATAATAAACAAGAATTATTGATGCTAGTGAACACAGAGAAATGAGCCTTTTAGTAAGAGATAGTTATTAAGACACTATATCCACACATCTGAAAACAAAGGAAGTGACGACGTTTCGCTCCGTCCTTGATAATGGTCCAAGATGGACCGAAATGTCCTGGCCTTTATTTTCAGATGTACGAGGCTGGTGCCTCACTGTTTCAGCCACGTTATTGTGTCTGTCTGGAAATTGTAATTTAATGTATGCGTTGTGTTGGGCCACAGTCGACGCGTCGCAGGCCGGCGCTGGCAACCTGGAGATCATCGTGTCGGTGAATGGTCGCAACGTCCCCAACTACGTCCAGTCTGAAGGTCATGCCAGGTTCCGGGTGAATTTCAAGCCCAAGGAGGCCGCCGTCCATACACTCTCGGTCAAGTTCAATGGCTTGCCTGTTCCAGGTGAGTGACAAGTGCCTTGCTTGTGAACACGAATGTTGGCGGCACGGCATCTTGTGAATGTTCGTGCTAGATCAAGGAGAATGTTAACACCTTGGGTGAATAATCACGCCTGGGATGTGAGCATATAGACAAAAGTTACACAAAAATAAGTGTCCTCAGCACAAAAATTACCCTAAATATATCAGTGTATGGGAACAAAAAAACAATGAGATAGAGCCATGATAAGCTGATAACCAGATACCTGCCACTACGGAGGGGGGGGGGGTTGCAGATATGCTATCCTGGTTATCATACGGGCAGAGAAACGACACTCAGAGGGCTGGACTTAAAACAGATGTGCTACGATACTTGTCAGTTTTTTATTTAGAAAGTGGGGACCTAAATATTTTGACGAGGAAGGGGGGGAGACATGGGAGATTGTGGAGGGGTCACGGGAGCTCGTATGGGGTTACGGGAGCCGAGTCCTGACACTGACACAAGTCTAGATGACCTCGTAGCGTGGGTGTACAGTGTAAGCCAGAGAACAGACAACAAAAGTGTTGTATACATAACCATCCTGGTTTACTCGTGTAAACCCACCAACACTGCTACTGGCTCAGGATCCTGCGGTGTTATTATTTATTAATGTCATGTATAGCTGAATACTGTTGATAAGTTGCTTTGGTAATTCGACAAAACTGAACTGGTTTTTGCTTTGTTTTATATATACATTGAGTGCAGGTGAGGAAGGACAGGTGTGATGTCAACAGAGCTAATGATACACGCAGATAAATCTGATTTTATCGTGGAAGTGACGGTTTGGCCACAGCCACAACACTGGTGGTCTGTCTACCACACCTGACCCATTGTCCGTGTATTCCCCCCCCCCCCTCTTTCCCCCCTCTCCCCCACATATACCCCCACGCACTTCACATTCACCGCCCCTCCCCCTCCCGTATTATTTTGTTTACCATTCAGTTCACGAGTGGTCCTGGTGGTGTGTTGACTGTGTACAAGTTTTTCACTTGATTTAATGGATGTGAATCCAGACTTGGAGAGGCGCCGGCTGCCCCTGAGCTGCTAGGTAGTGTCACACAGGAGTGTCCTTTCTCCAAGTGGGGGCACGCATGTCGGCGCGTCCCGTCCCCACCAGTACTGGGTATGACTGCATACCCTGCCGGAAGATGGGTGGTTATTTGGCATGCTGAGGTGCCCATAACCAAGGACGTAACGCCAATCCACTCACTCGACAGACCCAGTGGTGCTTAACCTGAGGAAACGACATGCACAGCGCCACCTTAAGTGTCGTGTTATCGTATTAGTTATGAGTGTGCAAACGCGCGTCGCGAAGAACGTGGTTTGGCGGAAATTGGTTGATAAATGAGTATAAGTGACGCTAGGAAGCGGAAATAAGAAAATATATAGCCGGGTGGACCTGGAGGCAGCCATCATGTTCAAGAGTTTGGTCCGCAGGTTGTCCCAGACGGACCTGCCTGGGGTACCCCTTCACGGTAAGTCACCCCCCCTCCCCCTCCATACACACTCGCACAAACATGAGCACACAAGCAAACACAAGCACGCGCCCACATGGAAAAACATGCAACGAAATGGCGTATTCAGATAGATTTTACAGAGTTGCGCAGATCTCAACCCTGAGGTTAGAAGTCGGGCAATATGGGACATTCTACAAGATAATGTTTCAAGGGAGTGCATGTTTTCCTCTTGCCTAGTTAACAGTGTATTAGACACTCGAGTTTGTTGAGAGCTGTCAAATACGTCTGTATCCCTGACGTATTCTGGCCTCTATAACATCGCATTGCCGAGTTCTTGCCATATTAGTTCCGTATATAAATATCTGTTCCTACTAATCATAATATTTAATGGCACAGCTTTCAGGTACTTGTGAATTTGTTAGATCAGTAAAATTATCAGATATTCGTTTCATTATTTTCTTTGTCACTGCTAATGAAATACTGTACCTATAGTAATTTATGAAACTGGTTTGCTGCAGGCTATCTTTGCAAGCAAGTCAACAGTGTCGTGCTTTGAGATGCTAACATGCATTGGTATCCAGAGGAATTTAATCTCAAACCTGTTTAATTTGGCAGTCATTTGTTTGAATATCTGATTATTTTCTGGGTGCTACTACTATGGGCTTTCAATACCAAGAGTGCACTCTGTGAGTCGCGGTTTATAATTCTACTTGTAAATTTAGTGGCAAGGTATATGCCTACGAGTTGGGGCAGAGTCGTGCTAACCCAGTCATTGACACACTTCATTAATGTATGAGATACATCAGCTCTCATCAACTATGTCTGTATAGCACTGATACACGGTATGCACAACACTTGCCCACTCTCCCCAACACACACGTAACACTTACCAGGGCTAGGTTGCGCGCTAACGCATACTGGTGTCCGAACAGGGTCACCGTTCAAGTGTCGTGTGAGTGACAGCAGTCAGGTGGTGGTGTCCGGCGCGGGGCTCAAGATGTCCTCCCTGGCGCGGGCCGCAGTCATCACAGTGGACCCGCGCACCGCCGACGTCACCGACTGCCTCGTCCAGGTCAGTTCACGCCCTAAATTCAGCAAATCTCGCGTTCTCTTCATATGTCTCGCTCATGTATATGGTCGTGTATATAAAGCCTATTTTGATTACCTTTGAAAAGTCAAATGATATTGTGTGGGCAGGTTACATCGCCGTCAGGAGCACACGTGCCGGTCAAGCTGTGCGGTGAGCTGCCCAAGAAGATGACGGCAGAGTTCCAGCCGCTGGAGGTGGGCCCGCACACCATCAATGTCATCATGGATGGTGAGAGCGTCGGTGGCTCGCCCTTCACCTGCAACATCTATGATGTCACCAAGGTGCAGGTCACCGGCCTCGACCACTCTAAGGTCAGTTGCATTACCGTAGTATTAAACAATAACAACAATGCTTGCCTTGCGCTGCATGCGGCTGCCTGCCCACCACAGCGCGGGTCATAAGGTCACTCTTCCAACCGAGTGCAGTGTACAAGGAGACGGCCGTAACCTGTGACCTGCTGTACAGTTTGACAGGTCTGAGGAATATTTCGGTGTCCTTGTCAGGACGACTTGTTTGATCCATTGTCATCATCTCATTTGCACATACGTTTCAGACTCAGGTCAATTATTGTGCATATAGTGCAGCTGCGCCCAGCGCCTCCACAAATGATCTCAAATTATAATTTTAATTGAAACTTTATTTTAAAACACCTTTTGAGGTGTTCAGAACTACTGTATGCTAAAAATTAAATCGTATTTATTGCCTTAAATTGCTAAAAGTAATATTTACCCGGGTGAAGCTCTTGCAGATGTGAACATTGGGTCAAGCGAGGTGTTACCGAGGACAGAGCTGGCCTGCTGTGTATCTAGGCTTCGGGGGAGGTGGAAGGACCCAGTAGTCTGTAAACAGGCACCAGTGGCCAGGAGGAACAGAGGGTCCAGTCAGTGTTCTCCACACACAATGTCAACAAGTCCTTCTTTTCAGCAACATAAACAATGTAGCATTAAGGTCATAAACACAAAGGTGCAAAGAAATCTGAATTAAAGATTGGCAACAACCTGGTCTCACAAGTTTATTTTTATGAGTCAACCTGACCAAGGGCGAGACTAGGGTGTTCACCCGTCCAGTTACATAAAATTTAACTTATTGGATACAATAACGTAAATGACAATTATCTTTGAATAGTTAAATTACTGTTGAACGTCATTCATTTCTGTCAGCATGTTCAAAAACTTGCAAACATTTGGTACTGAGTCTACACACAGCCTGATCTTAACCACGTGTAAGGTGAGAGGTTGATGGGAAATGAGTAAAACGTTCTCACAACCACTATTGTTAGTATCAATCAAAATAGTGAGGTGTGTGTGTGGCTACTGTAGTTCTTCAGTAGCTATGCTACTGAAGAAGACCCTAACTATAGTAGCTAACGGTTGAAAACGTTATAGTTTTTTATATTTCAATGTGGTTTTCCGCACGCACACGCACACACAGTTGGTGTGGCGGTGGTTCATTACTGTGCTTCAATCACACAACTCGCAGAACTTGTAATCATCCTTTTGCAGGTGAACCGGCCGGTGACGTTTACGGTGGACGCCTCTCAGGCGGGCGAGGGCACGTTGGAGCTGGTAGTGACCACCGCCAAGGCCTCGGTCAGGGCAGAGGTCGCCGCCAGGTCACGTGGTCTTTATGACGTCACATTTACCCCACATGAGCCTATTCCACACTTCGTCAATATCACCTTCAACGAAGAGGATGTTCTTGGTTAGTAAAGATAGTAATCAAAACAGGTACGGAATATTGGATTATTCCGTACGATTATTCCTTATTTTAACAGAATATTGGATTATGATCTTGAAATATTTTCTACTCTTGAGGCTTCGTAGATCACATTTCATCCTTTGATTACACAATTGCTCTCTTTAGGGTCACCCTTCAAGTGTGACGTCCGAGAGCTGGAGCCTCGAGAGGTACGGCACCTACAGCGTAAAGAGAGCCAGATGGTGACAGCAAAGGGAGACGGACTTAAGCAGGTGAGAAAGAAAGATGGTAAATGTAAACGTTGCCTTAGAAACTAGAAACAACTGAATTAGGTGTAGTGGAACCAGACAGATACTTGCCTTAATAACGAGTCACCTCTGTACCGCAGGTGGTGACCGGCAGCACGGCGTCCTTCACAGTGGACACCAAGGGTCTTGACGGGGAACTTGACATCCGTGTCACAGGCCCTGATGGTGGGCAGGTCCCCGCCAGGCTTGTCAAACTCCGTAGTGGTCTGCATCGCGCTGAATACCGGGCCGACCAGGTGAGGTTACAGAGCCATATTCTAAGATAGGACACGTCTAACGGAACACGGCTATAGCCAGAGACGGGATAACACTGAAACTATTGTTTATGTAATAATCTAAATTGAGGTCTAATAAAGACCTTTTGTGCCCTCTGTAATGCTTTTTGCGCTACCGCTCACAGGATAAGTATGGGGTGCACAATGAACTAGCCGCCTCCGGCGGCAAAAATACAAAATCAAATCCAATGATATATAGGGTACATTTGTTAGCAGAGAGATTGGACACAGCCATGGACAAAACAAAAGGACTCACCTGTAATGAAAGTGTATAATGCTAAGATAAAAATTCATAGAAAATTGTCACGTCAATCAAGCAAGGCAATGATTTTAATCTTTTATTTTTGTGTTACTGTAATGGAGTGTTGATTTGACCAGGTTGGGTCGTACGGCGTGGCAGTGCTGCATCAGGGCGCCCCCATCACCGGCACACCTTACACTGTGGAGGCCGCCGACCCTCGTAGGGTCGCCCTCCAGCCTGCAGGAGACTGCTTCTCTACACACGAGTGTGCACTTAAGGTGGACGCCTCAGGTCAGTCACACGGGGTAACATGCTCCTGGCTCAGGTCAGTCACGGGGTAACTTGCTCCAGCCTCAGGTCAGTCACACGGAGTAACATGCTCCATTCCTCATTAAGGACACTAGACTGGGAGACTGATAAAGTTTCGATCGATCAGTATTTTTCAAATCGGAAAACAAATGGCGAGGTAGAAAGTTATCAACTAGTTTATTTTTCCATTGTGGTAGTTAACTACACTAGTTAGTAAAGTCTCCAGACTGGTGTAGACTGTGCTGCTCTTAACTCATCATTGCAGTTAAGTAGAAGGATGGGAAATTCATCAGAGTTCCTTAATAGGTTTGTAGTATAACATGTGTGAAATTCTCATAAAAATATTACTGTACAGTACTTGATGACCTGCACATTAATGTTTGTGCCTTTATAAATATTGTTTTGATGGTCATTTGACATTATTTGGATCATTGTATGTAAAATGTACATTTTTGTGCAGGCGCTGGGCGTGGAACACTGTCTGTGGGCGTACGGGCTGCCGGCCAGGATGTGAAGCACTCCATCAGGGACCTCGGCGGTGGTCTGTACAAGGTGCTCTTCTACCCCAGGGCTCCCATACCACACAAGCTGGATATACGCTACAATGGCGTCCCAGTTCAAGGTGTGTGACTACTACTGTCCTGTGCCTCGTTATTTCCTGATACAGACTCCTCTTGCTGTAAAGTGAGACATTAATTTAATATATATATAATATATAACACACACACACACACACACACACACACACACACACACCACAAGGGGGTATCTGGCAGTGCTCGGGTCTGTCTCTGTCCATCTCTCTCTCCTTTTTTTTCTTCGTTTTTATGTTCACTATGCATGGTTAATTTGCAATATAATTTTATTGGAGGTGTTGTGGTTTCTGTTCTTGGTTCAGGATTGTACCACAGGTCCAAGTATCGTCTTTAGTAGTGTTTATCTTTGTCACTGTATTCATTGTTCACCAACACCTGTTATTCTTTCAAACATATATAAATAAATAATAATTAACATTTCCAAATTGTTGAGCAGGAGGGCCATTGGAAGTGAGTGTACGTAACCCAGCTACTGGTCATGCTGTGACAGCCACGGGCATCGGCCTTCACCAGGCGAGAGTCAACAAGCCCACATCCTTCGTCATAGAGACCTTGGGTCAACCTTCAAAGGAGTTCGACGTTCTGATTACTGGGCCTCAAGACTGGGCTGTTCCAGTTAAGTGTTATCAACAGAAGGATGGTAACTTGCTGGCGGAATATACTCCACACATCCCCGGGACGTACAAGATAGATGTAATGTGCTCCACTAAACATGTCAAGGGCTCACCATTCCAGTGTACAGCCTACGATGCTTCCAAAGTGGTGCTAGACCACAGTAAATTGGTAACTGCTGTTGGTGAACCATGTTTGTTCAAATGTAAGTATTGTACTGGAAATCTGTATCAACTTTTATTTGTTAATATTGATTCAGTATATTTATTATGATATAATCCACTTCTTATTACAGAATGCTTTATTTGTTTGTCTTAACAGTGGACAAGTCTGAAGCGGGTATAGCTGATCTGGAGGTGCAGGTTGTGGCCCCGTCCGGAGTGTTGATGCCTCTGGAAGTGAAGAGCGGACCAGCGGGTGAGGCTGTTGAGTGGGTTCCTGATGCCCCAGGACAGTACAGAGTCGCCTTCCTTTACGGTGGGGAAGAGGTAAGCTCACACCTACATAATAACAACATTAGTGGAATTTAAGAATGTTTAAGTGACCCGAGACTGATGGATGCCTACTAAGTGAGGATCAGAAGCATTAAGCATATTACATACACCATATTCAAAGTTTTTATATTCTAAATATTTGAAACCTGTTTACTAAAGAAATGTATAATCTATTAAGATAATGTGTTCTTTGGTAAAGGTGCCGGGATCACCTCTAACAGTGGAGGTTGGGGAGTCAGGGTTGGCCAGCGTGAAGGGTTCCGGACTTGATGGCGGCGCTGTCAACACACCGCTCACCTTTATCATTGATGGACGTGGCCTCCTCGGCGAGCCCCACGTTACAGTTGATGGGCCAGACAGTGTAGCTCGGGTCAACGTTCGTAAGCAGGATGAAGGCCTTTACCAGGTGATTTATGTATATTTGTTGTGTGCTCTGTGTCATTACTGTTGTATGAAAAGGCATTTATTTTTGTTGTGTGCATATTTCATACCGTAAATAACATACCATGTATATTGTTTTATAGATAATGTACAATAATATACGATGACTTTCATTAATAATCAGAAAATAGTACTGAAACGACATAATAAAATTGACTTTTATCTGCAGGTAACATATGTGCCCCATGAAGTGGGTATCTTTGACGTGCGTGTCCAGTGGAATAAGCGAGATGTTGCAGGCAGCCCTTTCCACCCTAAGATTGTGGACCCTGCTCGTGTGAGACTCATTGGTGGGTGGGCAAGCCTACAAGATGCTGAGGGTCGCCTGGAGTTGACGCCTCGAGAGGAAAAACGGTTGGCCTTTGACGTGAGTGAAGCAGGCCCTGGAAGACTCCGAGGTGAGGTCACCCATGATGACCAGTCACTGGAAATAGGCATGGACCAAAATGGTTCCCGAGCACGTCTACTCTTTACCCCGCCAGATGAAGGTCTTTATGAACTGCGCTTGTGGTATGCAGATTTGCCCCTGCCAGATATGCCTGTACATGGCTGGGCCGAACCAATATCCACAGGCGACCACACGAGAGTCACTCTCCGTGGTCACGGCCTGACTGCAGCTCGGTGTGGCGATCAGTCAGAATTCATCATTGATGGCTCGGCAGCTGGCCCTGGTGCCCCTGACGTGACCATGAGTGGCACGAAGACTGACATAACTGTCTCGCTGACACACCAAGGAGGAGGCCTCTGGCGGGCAGTTTATACACCAATTGTGCCTGGTGCTTATTTACTCAATGTGATGTGGTCGGACCGCCAGGTGCGGGGTTGTCCACTCAAGGTCAATGTAGAGAGTGCAGCAGATGCCTCAAGAGTAGTGTGCTCGGGCGAGGGCCTCCGACACGGGATGGTCGGCAGTGAAATAAAATCATTCATCGACACTCGGCGAGCGGGTCCTGGCGAATTGACTGTCACTTGCTCAGGGCCTCAGAAGGTGGCTCTGTGTGACCTAGATGAACACGGAGATGGCACTTTCACACTCAACATCAGACCACAGGTACGATCTGAATGCCTATTGTTAAAAGTTTTGAAAACTATAAATTATAACGAACCATGTACAGTATATAGTATTCCGTTAACTAGTGGATTTTTGGGAAGCATTCGATTTACGCTGTTAGTTAAGTCTATGATAGTGTGATTTACAAAAAAAATGACAGCTATAAAGATTTCATTCAGACTGAAGGAGAGCAAGCATTACCTCCTCATGATGCTCCTTGTTCACACTAAACAACACACACTTCTTCCTAAGCATACATGCTTTAATCACGGTAGGTAAGTAATTATGAGGAAAAAGCACTAAGCCAGTTCGACTATATGACACTCTTAAAGTTAAACGACAGCAGGGAACTAAGATGGGACAGAGGGAAGGAATGGTGCCGTCACTTGTGCATCAATTAATAATAATTTACATGTACATGACCTGAATAACCCAACCGATTACAGTACCTGTCCCCAAATAATAACTCTCCTCTCCCTTCCACTCTCCCCTCATTTAATCGTAATACGTCGTCAGTGTGTGGACAGATTTTAGTAGTACTACACACAATGCAAAATATATTTGTTGGACAGATATACAATATTTATGACCATTATTTTGGTTACTAGTGCAGGGATGTATGATTATTTTTGTAGTAAGGAGAGGAAATAAAGTGTGAAGAGGGTAACGGAAGTAGATACATTAGTGTGAGTCGGTTAATAAATGTGATGCTAACAAGTTGCCTTCTATGGACAGGAGCCTGGACGGCATGCTCTGAGTGTGAGGTATGAGGGCGAGCATGTACCTGGATCACCCTACACTCTTAAGGTTGCTGGAGCTCCAGACCCATCTAAGGTAGCTCACATATTTGATCAAGGAATCTATTTTGTCTTTACCCCTGCTCAATAAATGTATTAATCTGCCTCGTATTACCTTTTATTAGTTTTACACTGATTTCGATACGACTCGCTAGTTTTACTCCTCATGATCTGCCAATATTTACTACTTGACATTCGTTTGCTCCTAAAGGTTCGTGTTTATGGCCCTGGTATTGAGCATGGAGTGTTGGCGTCATATCAGAGCCGCTTCATTTGTGACACTAGAGGAGCTGGTGCCGGCCAACTCACTGTCAGGATCAGAGGACCTAAAGGTGTGTTATGAAACGTGTTTATCGACGATAACTTTGAAACAGAATTACATCTGCATGATACTATGCTCATGAAACTGGTTATAATTTTGTATTAGTTTTCTGACATTTGTGGTGTGTTTACTAGGTGCCTTTCGTGTGGAGATGCAGCGCGAGTCTCAGAAAGATCGAACTATTTTGTGTAAGTACGATCCAACAGAGCCCGGAGACTACCGCATGGAAGTGAAGTGGTCGGGTGAGCATGTTCCCGGCAGCCCCTTTATAGTCATGATCTTCGACACTCAGGATGAACTCAACAGATATATGGCGGTTAGTTTTGTGTGTGTGTGTGTGTGTATATATATATATATATATAATATATATATATATATATAAAATATATAATCGTTTTTTACTTGGTGTCAGAAATTTTATAAAGCTTTCTTAATATTTGTTGTAACCTACATGAAAGGATATAAAGTGATATGATTTTTGCAGGGTGGGTACTCTCCCGGTGGACCTGGTGGGGCTCAGAGTGACTACTATGGCAGTATCGGCTACGGTACCTATGGTGCAGTCAGTTTTAGCCAGATGTCCTGGAGAGGTTCGCAAGCACAGTTGTGAAGGGGGCCAGGGTCCCCGCCGAGCGTCGCCCCTCCCACTAATGCCCCATCTAGTAATGGCTTCCTACCTAGCTCCTCACCATCTTCTCCTTCACCACCCCGTGCCATGCTAGCCACCAATGGCCGAGTACTCCCCACACCTCGACAGGTCAAGGCTCTAGCCTATGCTCGTCGAAGGAACAGACCCTTAAGTCACGACACGGTTGGTCATTTTTCCATGCCACGACCTCCTCTTTCAGCACCACAAAGACCAATTCCCGTATACATGTCGACTTGGGCATGGCCCCCTTGCCACAACCACTTCACGTCCCTGCCGACCCCATCGCATAAGGGTCGCAAGACCCCCCGACGTTCGACGCCCATGAACGACCCTGCATATTCCGGCATCAGCCTGCACCAGTTCCACCGGTACCGTCTCATCACCAACAACAACTTATAGGGTGGTGGACCCTGGTCCCTCCCAACAGGGCTCCTGTATATAAACAGGTGCGAGCTTGCTCAGGTTCTTTCTCTTGAACTTTGCAAGGCTCGGTACCCTTCATACCTAGCCCTGAAACATGTCCCAAATGCTGCCGTCATAGACATTACCACTGGCCACATTCAACAGCACACACTACCATCATTTATGCATCTTTCATCTCATTGCTCTACCTGTACATTAAATCAACTTAAAAACACTTTAAAGTACGCATTATTGACCACATTTCATTCTCATGTCAAAACCAGCATCATAAGGAGTGAGCAAGGACACGAGGCAGCCCCTGGGAGCAGGTGTGAGGGCGACGCCTGCCTGCCGTCATGCTGGGTGACGCCAGGCCAGGCTCGGTTCTCGCCTCAGCCAGCCCCCATTGTGCCTCATCACTGGTGCCGCCGCCTAGATTTTGTTTATAATCATCCTGTAAGAGATTAGTGTAAAATAGCCAAATTCAAGACTTTTGTAATTTATATCCTAAATTGAAGCAAATATTTTTCTTCTCGGCCTTTTAATAATTAAAATTACTTGATATTTATCACACCATTACCATGCATTTGTACTCATCTAGAAGTCACTAAATAGCTATTGTTAATGTGTTACCGTTAATTACAAGACTAGAACACATCATTAGTGTCACAATTTCATACTGGTCCTTACATAGGTTATTTAAGTATCTTAAGTTATCAGAGATTGTGATGTTATATCATTAATATATTTAATAATACTACACAATTTTTAACTATTTGTAAATGTTGAATTAATAAAAAATACTAATGACCCCCACTACTACTTCCCAGAGTCTTCATTGTGGCTTTTTTCTCCAGTTTAGTTGGTTAGTCTGGCAGCGCTTTGGCCAACACACAGGAGCCATGGCAGCTGCCCGGTACTTGGACACGGCAGCTGCCCGGTACTTGGACACGGCAGCTGCCCGGTACTTGGACACGGCAGCTGCCCGGTACTTGGACACGGCAGCTGCCCGGTACTTGGACACGGCAGCTGCCCGGTACTTGGACACGGCAGCTGCCCGGTACTTGGACACGGCAGCTGCCCGGTACTTGGACACGGCAGCTGCCCGGTACTTGGACACGGCAGCTGCCCGGTACTTGGACACGGCAGCTGTCCCGTACTTGGACACGGCAGCTGCCCGGTACTTGGACACGGCAGCTGCCCGGTACTTGGACACGGCAGCTGCCCGGTACTTGGACACGGCAGCTGCCCGGTACTTGGACACGGCAGCTGCCCGGTACTTGGACACGGCAGCTGCCCGGTACTTGGACACGGCAGCTGTCCCGTACTTGGACACGGCAGCTGCCCGGTACTTGGACACGGCAGCTGCCCGGTACTTGGACACGGCAGCTGCCCGGTACTTGGACACGGCAGCTGCCCGGTACTTGGACACGGCAGCTGCCCGGTACTTGGACACGATAGGGGCTGTGAGAACAGACACGTTTAACGAGCAACCAATGTGGATATTTACACCTAATTGTGCAGCATAAATTTGGCACTACATCGGAACGTCTCAGAGGTACAGTGAAGACTTGTTTGAAGATACTTGAACGTGTCTTTGGTAACACCCGGTGAAATGTCTACTTTGGTAGTAGAAATTGAAACGCTATATGCGATCTTAATCACTGTAACCATATACACTATACACAGGCCCTTCATCGCTGGAAATTTCATATCTTTACTACAAACTATATTTATTACTGGAATCGTTCACACGGCAATCACAATAACATTCTTCTTTGCGCACTACCTTCACTGTAACCTGACATCACACACTACCTTCACTGTAGCCACCGACATCACACACGACCTTCACTAACGTAACTAAACGAGCAAAAACGTTTATGATTGTGGAAGTGAGGTCGTTAATAAAATAATTGTTGAACACAAGTATTTTTATCCAGTGGGCTTGGAGGGCGCAAACATTCACTACACATTAAACATTGGGAGTTTCTTTCCTGGGGACTAGACCCAGCATTCTTCCCAAGGAAGGCTTTTGTTCCAGTTGGTGTTACAATGGAAGCTTTTCCCACAATGTATGTGGTATTTTGAGGTGATTCTGATTGGTGATAGTTTTATACCAGTACCTATATAACATCCTCATTCGCCACCTGTAATACCAGTGTACAGATTCGGGTTTTTTCTTCAATCCTCCCTTTACTCAATTACTTTATCACGGTGATGTTACCTGATAATACTTCTAATTTGTAGAAGAGTCTTGAGTAAGATGTATTCAATATGGACTCCTTCAGCGTCCTCAGCCGCCAGCACATCTGCTCGTTCATTCCAACAGACCCAACGTGGAAGGGGATCTACAGGAATTTGACCACTCTTCACCGATTGATTAGCACTCTCAGAGCTCTCTTGATTTCAGCAACCATAGCTTGGTTTTCTGCCTGTTTTTTTACAAATGTTTTGTAGTGCTGCTTTTGAATCGGTGCAGGTCACTGCACCTTTAGTGTTTTTTTCAAGGAATCTTAATGCCATAACAACTCTGCTTGCACTTAAGAGACATGGTTCTCAATACGTGCCTTTTCTTCATTTCTGTTTTGAGACATTATTCCTAATTACAGTGTATACTGCCCCAGCCCTGCCATTAGTAGGATTAAATGAACCATCAGTGTAGATTTGATCTAATTCATTTCTGGTTTCTTTATACATTTACTCAAGATACTTATGCCTCATTTTCTGTGGTATCGTGTTGGACTTTTTCGTTGTCTCGTTTATAATAACTACATGGTTCATCCTTCCAGGAAGGTAACATCCCTACAGGCATGAGCTCACGGGCTTGCACAAGCAGGTGAAGTTCTTAAGAGAGCAAATTGATTTTTTGTTTTTTCCCTCTTTCCTCTTTTAAGTAGCATGAAAAGCAAAAAATGGCATCACTCATCAGTTTGCCACCTGGAAGAACTTCACCTGGACATGGAGTGAGCTGCTAAACTGGTGGACACCCTGGTAGATATTGAACATGGAGTGAGCCACTACACTGGTGGCGAGGCAGGAACACTAACAGTGGCTGCAACCAACCCAAAGCGACGAAGCTGCATAGATTGAACACAGTGCCACATGTTAGTTCGTGGGTTGTACTTCTCAACTGTATTGAGGTTCGACTCTCCACTAAATCCACCGAGACAGAAGATCCTTCCATGACTGACGGTCACACCAAAGCTGCTTCGAGCGCTGATCATAGATGACACTGTAAATTATTAAAATGTTAATAATTTTATTTAATTAAAAAAATATTAAATGAGAGTTTGTGAGAATATTAAATTGATATATGTAATATATATGGCTGATCTTCAGGGCTATTAATAAAGATTAATTATATACGTTAGTGGGCCATCCAGAGGCTTTGGGCCTGCGCAGGAATATCCCTTCCAAAAGAAAAAAATTATATACAAAGTTTGAGGTCCCAGAAAAGAAGAGCAGTGAAAGAATTGTAATATTTACTTTACATGACTACCTTTTTTCAATAGAAACAAATCCATATTAAGACAAAAATCAGTTAAGCTTTGTTTTAGCAACTTAAATAATATCGATTAGGCGACTGTGGAACAGATTAAAACTGTCATGTTTTATTAAATGAACAGCATTAAATGTCAACAAAATAACTGAATTTCTGTGTAATGCCCGTAACGTAAGTAACAAATTAAATGTTCATGCTTCAACTTAGAATATTTTGTTCTACTGCGACTACTGACTAACCTGAGGTCCACTGGTCACTCAGAGGGTCGTATTTCTCGACAGAACAGAGCCATCGCGAGCCATCGTAGCCACCAATGGCGTATATCTGGTCCTGCACCACCGCTACACCCAGGTATGACCGCGCCTGTCCTAGTGGAGCTGGGCCACGGGAAAAACAGCCATCAACATTACGTACTCAATCAAGTTCCACCTCACTCGTATCTCTCACCCCTCCAACCTCAATCATATCCCTCCTACCTCACTAATATCCCTCACCCCTCCTGCCTCACTCGTATTCCTGTGTAAATAGCGATGGTGTGAATACAGAACTGGTGTGGTGACAGATGGTGTGAATACTACCGGTGTCATGACAGGTGGTGTCAATACTACCGGTGTCATGACAGGTGGTGACAAAGACATCATTCCAATGAGCCTCACCAATCGGGACCCAGGTATCGGATCCTGGATCAAACTTTTCACAGGAGCGTAGGACTCGACTGGTGCCCCCGGCAGCGGCCACACCGCCAACAGCGAACAGTGACCCATGGAGGGCCACCAGACCAAAGTGGCCTCGGCCCTCGCTCAGGGACCCTCTGCCCACCCAGCTCTCGCTAGATTCATCATAAACCTGAAAAAGAAATGTTCTTTATCATCAAAACTTAATGAAAACATATTAAATTAATTTGAATTATTGTTGTAAGCTCCAATTATTATTAGTTTGGCGTATGTAATTTAATTATGCCATGATATCTTATATATAATATATTTAAGATATCAAACCATATTTCGTTAAAACTCGATGCAAATTTATTTTCTTGTAAATCAAATCTGTTTTTAACAATGATTTAAAAATAAGCTCAACTGATAAACTAATCTGAAAGCATTGCCTATTTTCGAAATGTTACTTAAACCATTTAAATCACAAATTATTATTACTATCATCACCATAGGTAGTTACAGGAGTAGACACCTTCTACCTTCAATTAGCAGGCCTTTTCCTTCCCCCAGCTCATGCGAAGCTTGCCCTACTAGTTTTCCCTGAAACACGACATGCTAATCGGTTTACAACCAGGTTCCCAACCACTGGGTGAAAAAGTGGCAGCGTGATATTTGCATTGTTACATATATGAGTGATAAGAGTAGGCTTACCAAGAGCTCATGTTGGTATCTCTTTTGCGACCTGCCGCCGGCGAAGTAGAGAACTCCGTCAAGGAAAGTAGCTGCTGCTCCGTGGACAGGTGCTGGCAAGTCAGGAAATCTATGCCAGGTGTTCGATGATACCCTGTAGCACTCACAAGAGGCTAGGAATGTATTACTCGTCTGACCTCCTGCGGTCAAAGGATCAATAATTATTAAACAAATATTACCCCCTGTATGTTGTTGTTATATTACTGCGATATTCCATGTATAAGGTTTGTTGATACTTTGTGTGTATATACCGAGGACATGGACGAGGTTGTGGCGAGTGGCCACAGCGCAGTATGCCCTAGGCTGCTTCATGGCGGGGAGGACCTGCAGCCGGGTGCTCCTGCGGTCACCAGGCTGGAGGGAGGTGTCAGGTATACTGCACCGCCAAGACGAGTAACCAAGGGCAAAACATTCCACATTGCCAAGCAGGCGACCATTTGACTCGCCGCCCATCACAAGCAACACCTTCACACACACAGAGATATTAGGTATTTTGTAAATGCAGGAGATATCATACATAGCTGATAAATTACTTATTGGTATAAAGGTCATGGTAAAGTCCATTTGCAGCTTACAATTTGAATAACTTCTTTTCTGTAGGGGATTAAAGGCATTATAATTTTTTCAATAAAGGAATATATAAAAGATTTAGTATATATAATCTCTGGATTGTTAAAGTCTTTAACATGTCCGCCATCATTGCGGACACAAGTTCCACAAGTACGTTGCGGATTTGGGTCACAGTTATGGCATTAATCACACAAGGTATTCTAGTATAAAGATCGTCTAAGGAGCAAGGTTTTGATAAGTGAAGTACAGTTTTAACATGTTCTCATACAAAAAAGTCCAGCGCCAGGTACCAGTCCAGTGAATGCTGACCGACTCACCTTTTCCAATCCATCTGTTTGGGAAAATATTGTCCAGAAATTGTCAAATGCTACGTGTAAATTGACAAGGTGCACCACCTGGCTGAAACTTTGTCTTTATTATTATACAGATTATTTGCATCTACTAAAGATCAGAAGTTATAAGTATTTTAAACTGCACAAGGACCTGAAAATAACCCCCTCAAGTTTGAAGAATGTTATGATTATTTTAAACATTATTAGAATTATTGTAATTGGTTTATAGCTTTTCTTAAATCTCTGTCTCTCTCTCTCTTATGTGGTGCATTTTTTAGCTGTCTAGTGTCTAGACGTGCAAGTTCCTTGTCATATCTGTTCTTGAAGTTGTGGATATCGGTGCTTAGTTGCATGTGCGTGTGTGTGTGTGTGTGTACTCACCTAGTAGTGAGTGACTGTGTGTGTGTACTCACCTAGTTGTGAGTGGCTGTGTGTGACTATGTTATCACCTAACAGAGTTTGCAGGGCTGAACTTTTCCTGGCTTCTTGGCCAGGATTCAACAAGCATTTAAACATCTACTTGCGAACCTGTACATCTTTTTGCAATCTTTAGCGGCTTTGTTTAAATTTATTTAACTGTTTACGAGCATCGAAACTTCCCAGTCAAATATTATTACTATAAACAGCCTCCTGGTGCTTCGGAGCTCATAAACTGTTTAATATATATAAATAAAAACATCAAACATTCAGAAAAGATGTACAGGTTCGTAAGTACTTATGTAACTGATGAATTAGGTCCTGAATCTAGCCCTTCGTTCCTTTAAAATTGAAAATTGGATGTAACTATTATTTACCCTCCAAATTTATGGCATTTACTGATCCTGTATTAACAACGACCCTTATGACATCCGTTTGGTTCGTCTGCTGTTCTCTTGTACTGCTCGGCCAAAATATTCCTCTCTCTTTCTCTTCGCTATATTAATACCCTCAAAATACTTTGTATATCTGGATCATGTCTGGTTCTCAGTTCTTCAAGTGATATTTCGTTAAGTTGTCTCAGTCTATCCTTGCAGTTCAATCTTCTCAGTTCTAAGACAAGCCAAGTAATAAATCTGTCCTACTTTTTTGTTTATATGTTGTTTTGAGGTGAGGGCAAGTGATTGTATATTTGTGTGTATAATCTGGATAATAATCTGGTGTATAATTTTATGAAGCTAAAACACAAAGTTAAAATATTCCTAGGCCTACTATAGCACGCATATGTACTATATATTGGGCCTCAAATATCGTGTATTAGGCCGAGTGAGGTTAGGTTAGTTAAGTTTGTCAAAGAAACACCAGTAAAAAATAGTTTTCCGGTTTGTCCAACTCAATAGTTCAGATTTCTACTTTCTAATTTCGTTGAACGTCGGTATATATACTATGATACGTATATATACGCTTTCCTCTCATAGTTCCCTTCCCTCATCGTTACTATAAGTACTACCATAACAAGAGGATGGGCTGAAATCTACACTATTTTTTTTCAGAGGGAAGCACTGCTGTTAGTGCTTCAGGCTAACTGTAATAGTTTTTTTCAGTTTTCATAATTCTGATCAACAGAATGTTACAACTAATTACTACAGAGCTCACCTCCTCCTGAGAATTATGCCGCGTTTTCTTTGATGATTCGTCTTGATCGACAGAACAATTCTCAGTTCTACTTGAGGTAATCTCTGAGGCCACAATGTGTCGTAAATCTTCGGATAACAGTTGCTTTTCTTCTAGCGTAGCTATCCATTTTATTCTTGTCTGTGCGTTAAGGTGCCCCAAATCAATATTCTGGAGGAGAGTTACGAGCCATTTTTGTCTCTCGTCTGGGTCTTCAGCCGCCCAGCGGACCACTGCCTGACGAAGATGAACACACGGACATTTATAAACTGTATTTTGTTGCCAGTTACTAATAAAAGTAGAATAGCTTCATAACCGTAACACGTGAAATTTATTCCAATACAAAATAAAATATTGAGTTTCAAGTTCTTGTCCATGACTGATATATATTTTGTGAAATTGAATTCTCAGATAAATCAATCTAAACCAGTGGCCCTTGTATTAAATATAAAACACATTTTTGTGAACAAATTTGTAATTCAAACAAGTGACTGAATGATAACAAACAAGAGACCTACAAAAGGTGGAAAATAGTCTACACACGTTAAGGAGCTCCTCCTCCGACTCAATATTGAGGTAGGGTTGCTTGAGGAGTGTTAGGAGCGTCTCTGGCAGGAGAGAGAGGAAGGCTGGGTGGCCGAGGACCTGAGAGCACTGGGAGCAGCCCAGAGCTAGGGCATCAGTAGCCAGGTCGTGGCACCGGTGCAGGCTGGCGACCTCATAAACACTCAAGCAGGTCTCCATCACTAAGTGGTTCTTGGCACACAAAGAAAGTTAAGGTAATCAGCCTGTGAATCATAATTTGACAACTCTATGGCACATTTTATCTTAAATAATGATAATAGCTGAATGTGATTTGCTCACACTAGGGTGATCGGGGAAGGTATCCACCATATCCTCTCCTAATCGTACCATAGAAAAATAATTATGCTAACAAATCTCTCACCCTCGCCGTTTTCCTTTCCTCAGTAGGAGGAACGTGATTGAATTGGACTCCCGTCTCCTGCAAAGTAGTCATCAAAAAGATGAACGCCTGTCTCTGATACTGTGACGCTTATCTAAGGTCACTAAAGTCCACACTTGATATACACTTGCTACATTTCTCATCCTCCAAAACTGGCAGTACATATACTCATTGCGCAAAAAGTAAACGTTTTTGTAATAATCGTAGAGTGAAACGTATAAAGACTGCAATAACCTTACCTATCCAAAGCCTAATAAAACGTCACTAATATACATAATTTTAGATAGAATGTATTACTCACACACACGCACACATCTGGGGGCCCGTGGCTAAGTGGACAGCGCTTGGGACTCGTAATACTAAGGTCCGGGTTCGATCCCCGGCAATGGCGGAAAACAAATGGACAGAGTTTCTTTCACCCTGATGTCTCTGTTACCTAGCAGTAAATAGGTACCTGGGAGTTAGACAGCTGTTACGATCTGCTTTGTGTGTGGAAAAAAAGTTGAGAGGCGGGCCGAAAGAGCAGAGCTCAACCCCCGCAAGCACAACTAGGTGTATAATATATATATATATATATATATATATATATATATATATATATATATATATATATATATATATATATATATATATATATGTCGTACCTAATAGCCATAACGCACTTCTCAGCCTACTATGCAAAGCCCGATTTGCCTAATAAGCCAAGTTTTCATGAATTAATGTATTTTCTCTAATTTTTTGCTTATGAAATGATAAAGCTACCCATTTCATTATGTATGAGGTCAATTTTTTTTATTGGAGTTAAAATTGACGTAGATATATGACCGAACCTAACCAACCCTACCTAACCTAACCTAACCTATCTTTATAGGTTAGGTTAGGTTAGGTAGCCGAAAAAGTTAGGTTAGGTTAGGTAGCCGAAAAAGTTAGGTTAGGTAGGTAAGGTAGTCGAAAAACAATTAATTCATGAAAACTTGGCTTATTAGGCAAATCGGGCCTTGCATAGTAGGCTGAGAAGTGCGTTCTGGCTACTAGGTACGACATATATATATATATATATATATATATATATATATATATATATATATATATATATATATATATATGTCGTACCTAATAGCCAGAACACACTTATCAGCCTACTATGAAAGGCCTGATTTGCCTAATAAGCCAAGTTTTCATGAATTAATATATTTTCTCTAATTTTTTTCTTATGAAATGATAAAGCTACCCATTTCATTATGTATGAGGTCAATTTTTTTTTAATGGAGTTAAAATTAACGTAGATGTATGACCGAACCTAACCAACCCTACCTAACCTAACCTAACCTATCTTTATAGGTTAGGTTCGGTTAGGTAGCAGAAAAAGTTAGGTTAGGTTAGGTTAGGTAGGTTAGGTAGTCGAAAAAACATTAATTCATGAAAACTTGGCTTATTAGGCAAATCGGGCCTTGCATAGTAGGCTGATAAGTGCGTTCTGGCTATTAGGTACGACATATATATATATATATATATATATATATATATATATATATATATATATATATATATATATATATATATATATATATATATATATATATATATATATATATATATATATATATATATATATATATATATATATATATATATATATATATATATATATATATTTACCTTTAAATAATAGCAGCAAAGCTTTTTAAGATCGTATATCTGAAAGTAATCAGCTAGAGTAAGGACGTTTGTAATATTGTGTTGGTCGAGTGGTGCCCGGCCGGTGTAGACGTAGGTGAGGACGGTGTTGAGGACGGCACCGGCCACGTCCTCCAGGACCAGGCTCTGGGTCCTCCCCTCCACCAGACCCACCGACAACATCGCTCTACAAGAAATACAATATGCAGGTTTGCTACTGAGAGACGGATTTCAACTCATAATAAATATAAGGGTTTGATATTGATATTGTGATCTAATTAATGACTATTATTATAACATTTATATAGGGTTCTTTCATGAGTTTTACCCTTGCATACTTGATGTAAAGTTCTTACATAGCAAGATATTAGAATTGGAAACGTGTGTGAAGAGAAAGTAAACTCTGAACAGTAGATTAACTATACAACATAACTTATAAAGGAGTCGTAAGGTACATAGTGTTACTGACCTAAAATAAGGGGAAGCGGCAGCCAGGATGACCTTGTGAGCGTGGATGACCTCATCACGAGTGGTAATGACCAAATCGGTGAAAAGCCTAGTCTGCCAGGCCTGGTGAAGACCCCGGGCCAGCGTGGCGGGCCAGCCACCGTCTGACACGTCCTCCGCCATTCCTGTCAACAAACACCAAGGGTATCTTCTTGAGGTTATCTTGAGATGATTTCGGGGCTTTTTAGTGTCCCCGCGGCCCGGTCCTCGACCAGACCTCCACCCCCAGGAAGCAGCCTGTGACAGCTGACTAACACCCAGGTACCTATTTACTGCTAGGTAACAGGGGCATAGGGTGAAAGAAACTCTGCCCATTGTTTCTCGCCGGCGCCTGGGATCGAACCCAGGACCACAGGATCACAAGTCCCGAGTGCTGTCCGCTCGGCCGACCGACTCACACCATTGAGGGTAACCTTACACCATTGACTTTCGTCTCTATTCAGCTCGTTCTCTTGATCTGCCATTCAGTAAAATAATCCAACCTCCTAACCTAACCAGGTCTACTGATTACTAGCCTAACCAAAAACGTACGCAGCCGTGCAACCAATCTAACCTATCTAGTTCGATGCATAGAATACGTAGATATTTCTAAGCCGTTACTTTTCATGGTAGGATGCATTTGTAACATTTGTTATTCAAATGTAAAAAAAAAGCGATCTATTATGAGAGGACGGGTTGTTAGCTCGCCACTCTAATGTCCTCTCTGCTTGTATTGTTGACACCAGATGCGATGGCACGTCTGACACTAATTATTATCAGTGTCAGAAGTGCCATGAAATGACATATTTCATTTCGATAATCACCCAAATGATTATCCACACGAGAATTCAATACTGTCACCTCACTCAACTCAAAAATGAAAAAATCTTTAAATTTTGTAGTCAGTTATAAATATACAACCATTTTTATAATTTTTTAGTTTAAAATTTGTTAAACTTGAAACTAATTGTAATAACTGGTTCACGAACATTATCTCATGTGATAAGCTCACGGCCTCAGATTTTAAATATGTAAATTTTTAGTGATCAAGACGCTGGTTCTGGGAGGGTTCCCAAAACCCTAAAGCGATCATTGTGGTATTATAAAAACGGATCACGACATGGCATGGCATGCCATTCATATCTCAAGAGACTTTATATCGGCTTCTTTATGAAAGATATATTGAACTCTTGGTTCAATATATCAATGAACTCTGGCCTAACACCTGGCCAGAAGTGTAACGCAAAACACACACACACACACAATTTAGCGATCTGAATCGTCATAATCTGATGTTTCGCAGCGCAGCCTAAACCGGAAGACGAGTCAAAGCCAAGTCTGCTGTAGAATATGACAGTCAGAGAGTTGAGAATGCTCGGAGGGACTAGACGGACTAGGTGGGCATCACCAGCGCGAGCCGACTTGTATGAGAATATTATTATTGAATGTTAGTAACTTGTAATAATAATAATAATAATAATAATAATAATAATAATAATAATAATAATAATAATGTCATAATATATGACATGCACGGGATAAGCAATAGTAGCATGTAGGAATAGTGTTTTATGAGGCTACTTGAGGACCGACATGAGTTATAAGCTTATAATCGATCTATGGGACACTGAAGGACTTTACTAATATGAACATTGTATACTAATGAAGACTCCATGTGAGGCAGTGGTTAATTTTAAAAGTGAAACAATTTTGAAGCAGTTTGTAGAAAAATTATGTTGTTTTGCATAAATAATATGTTTAGATTACTGAACACCGTCAAAAATGAGCGAAATGTAGGATTTCTAAACAGTTTACAGGTATATGACACTTATTATCATTTAAATAAGTGTTGATTCATTTGTGTCATTAGTTGTGGAGAACGGTGAATTGAAAAGCCCGTTGAGGGGGAGGAATCTTAGATCACCTTCTAAGTCGCATCAGATGTTTTATACAAGAAACTAGTAGGAGGCGCATCTGGTACGCTTCATCCAACTTTATCAGTAGACAACACGTGATAGTATAAAGACCAGCTGCCAGACGACGGCCTTCCTCTGATGGGTAGATTACGGGGACAAAGTTCAAAACATATCTATAGATTATGATCAGTTCAATACCCGAGTGGAACGTTTATTTTTGTTCGTTAGTAGTTATTTAGGTGAAGAGTCAACACACGCTGCTTCGTTAACCATCTACTCGTACTATCTTCCTAAATGTTGAGAATAAGCATAACATAATGGTCACTTGATTTCACTAAATGTTTAAGTAAAATGGATATATATTCTTAATGGGTTATAATTCTGCACGAGTACGAATATTTGTATTTCAAGGCTCCATGTAATTTTGTGTATGATTGTATTACACGGAGCCCATGTAACCTGTACAAAAATGGTTGTGTGCCTGTATTACATGGGCGGCACTCGTGTGTATACTCACCTAGTTGTACTCACCAAGTTGTGCTTGCAGGATCGAGCATGTCCTCGTGAAACTTTCGACCGTCATTAATTAGTTCAATGCAGTGACTCATTTCCCTCATTTTGTTTTTCCTTATCACATCTTTATAACCAGGCCTCGAATGGGTTTCAACAATTTCCTTATCTTTCGTTCCACTTATTTACGACTCTGATATTAAAAAAGTTCTTTCTGACATTTTTGTGACTCATCTGTATTTCTAATGTCCTCTCTAACGTTCCTTAGTTTGAACATTGCGTCTGTATCTACTTTGTCAATGCCCCCGTAGTAGGTCACTGTCATGTTTGCACTACTTCTTTCGTCTACCAGTGTAGCGAGGTCCAGTTCCCTCAGGAACGGACCTTGTTTCATATTTTTGGACCGTTTCAAGTGTACTCACCTAGTTGTGCTTGCGGGGGTTGAGCTCTGGCTCTTTGGTCCCGCCTTTCAACTGTCAATCAACTGGTGTACAGATTCCTGGGCTCTGTAATATCTACATTTGAAACTGTGTATGTGTGTGTGTGTGTGTGTGTGTGTGTGTGTGTGTGTGTGTGTGTGTGTGTGTGTGTGTGTGTGTGTGTGTGTGTGTGTGTGTGTGTGTGTGTGTATAAATTGAAATGTCTGTCCGAGGTTGAAGCCTCACGCAACTTTGCACTATGATTCCTGTAGAGTATTAGCCCAACACAGGCATGTCCAGGTCGTCATAACTCAAGGGAAAACAGCGTGCTACGGTCACATATAGAACCCCCACGACGATTTTGGCTCTCGCCACCGATTCCGTCTGACAAAATACTAGATATCCTATTGCCGACTATAACAATACAATTGTTAAAGTGCATTATTAATGGTTGACAAGTATTAGAGTCAAAATAGAATATTCTGTGTAAATATCAATGTAGATGCTCTTGTAGTATGGCACATATCTTCTTCCCCTTGCACTTACTTGTTTCAATAAGAAGATGTATTTAATTCGCCGCACTTGGGTGGCGAGAGAAGATAAGGTATGTTGTGTGTTGTGGCGGTGATGGTGACCCTGGAAACACTGCCAGGACGCACCCTCACACATCGCCTCCCTACACTACACTGACGGGGCTACACACTCACGCACATACGAACGATGCCATGTGTCTACGTTCGAGTTATGACCAGAGATAATTGTCTGGGCGTCAATCCTTAACTGTTCGCCCAGCAGTAATTGAGTCCCTGGTTGGTAATCGATTGGTGGGGTCGTGCGCCAGGGAAAGGAGTGGGTAAGGTTTACCAAGAGCTATGAAAAGGGAAAGCTCTCAGCCTGCTAATATGGGTCAGACGCCGTCTGTTCTGTGTAAACAAATAATGATGTGGGTGGAGGCAGACTCGATACACGTCTTTTAATTAGATATAACAGAGCTCAATAGGCTCTGGAACCTATACAAAAGTCGATTAAATGTTGAGAGGCGGGACCCAAGAGCTGTGATTCATCCTCCCCCTGTAAATACAACTAGCAGGTGAGTACACACACGCGCGCGCGCACACACACACACACACACACACACACACACACACACACACACACACACACACACACACACACACACACACACACACACACACACACACTTGGACAACTATCTGTGTTCACCTAGCAGTAAACAGGCACCATGGCTTTACACAGTTGTGAATTGCAGCCTGTAAAGCCAGTAGTTAGTTGGTCTACTAGATATGATAGAGAAAAAAAAAAGTCGGGAGTCATAAAACTGGACAATTGACGGATGGAAAGGGGGAGTCCAAGAGTTAATAAAAGCTCGATCCTGCAGGCACAATTTAGTATATACACAAACACACCCGCGAACAAGAGAGGATTGTCTCTTTGTCCATATATCAAAATTCATCTTAAATATAAAATATGAAGAGTAATCTGGAAATAAATAAATAAAAAAGACAAAGAATTGGGGAAATGGGAGGAGACATGGTAAAGTAATCAATGATAAAGTGTAGGAGTGAGGTAAATAAACTAGGCTACACGGCGCCTAGTGTTGATAAGTCAGCCCGTCCTCCTCAGTTTTCTCAACTTCACTAAACTGCTGTGCTCAACAGTTTAGTGCCCCCTCTCCACGGCCCCGAACGTCTCCAATGGAAAGGCAAACGCCAATACGATTGGTTCCAGCGCCGTCGCAGGAACTGTCAGAATGAGGTTGAAGGCAGCAACGAACTGCACCAGGGGCTCCAGCTCCGGAGTCGACTTCGAAATTGGTAAAAGAAGGCACAGGGACTCCAAATCTGGAGACCGCCGTGGTCGGGGCCGGAGAAGAAATGCCCCAGCAAGGGCAAGAACGACCCCAGCCTCCCGAAGCAAAACTTGGGCCGCACGAGCCCCAGGAGGTGGACTTCCGACCCCTGCACCTATGGGTTCAAGACAAGAGATCGTCACAGCCCTCTTTCACCCGAGGCCGGCTTCCTTCAAGACCAAACAGAAGGAAGAGTAATTAGTAATTACAATAATTATTATTATAACTAATTATAAATTATTACTCTTCCTTCTACTTGGTCTTGTTCTGTATGGCCTCAATAGTTTCTCATAGATTCACCAAGTTCTTGTGATTTCATTGTGCAATATACTTATATAACGACTAGGCTGGCGGGTGCAATATTACGGGAGACATCTCACGTCACGCAGGGTGCAGTCGCACCTCCACAGATCTCTAGTATCAGCTCTTGA